TGTGAAAATTATTGTGAAAAAAATACTGTGAAAAAAAAAATCACTGTAAAGCCACTTGAATGTTGATATGTGCTGCTGATTATTTCATGTTGCTGTGTTCATTTGTACTCATCTGCTCACACAGACTCATGTTCGTACTGCTGTTTGGCGCATTGTTTTGTACGAGTAGTGCTTAGTGTATTTTTAGTTTAGTGCATTTCTTAGTTCATATCTTAGATCTTATTACTGTTTTTCTTTACAATTTGTATTTTGGTTGGATGTAACTTGAACCCTGTGTACATAGTTTCGTTCCACCTCATGTATCACATGTGATGTGAATGATAATAAAAACACCTTGACCTTGAGAACTGAAAGAACAAATGATCCTTCATAGCACCCTCAGTAAAATGCTTAGCCCCCTTTTTAACCTGCAGAAAAATATATCTGGAGCCTCCACTGATAACATATGTATCCCAGTAAAAACACATCAAGTTATTTTAATTTGCAGAGTATGGAAGCTTGTGTCGCAATGACTGTAGCCCTCAAGGTCAGATGACAAAGTAAGAAACGTGCGCTCAGTCTTTTCAGCTCATTTAGATTTCCTGAAGTTTTCAACAGAAGTCAAATGAGACTTTACGGATCACAGTTTTCTAAAAATGCTCATCTTCTTGCTTCTCTTAAACCCATTTGTCAGCCTTTCACAGAATTACAGAAGTTTGTGTGTAAATGATGAAGGTGGGACTCTGCAGTGTTTAAAAGAAGACGAGCTTTGCTCGAGTGGCAATATTTAACACGCACTTGTTTGTTGCACAAGGGGACAACACAAGGCAAGCATGCCCCCTTCTTCCATGCTCCTCTCAACTCTGAATGCCCCCGGAGGATATGCGCATGTGTGCTTGTGTGAATGACTTTTTGAGTTTTTTAAAACATTTACACACATAATCTGTGTCATAGCTGATTTCTGAGCACTCTGCAGCTTAAAAACATTCCAGAGAAATGAATGAGAAGTCACCTCGGTGGCTCCAGAGTGAAGCCAAAGCCCCATTCTCGTTCTCATTAGAGCTGTGCTGACTCGCTGCCTGTGTTCAAATAACATAAGGTTCCTTAGGGGCGACAGTCAAGGACAGAAGGACACACACCCTCATGCACACAGAGGTAGCACTGCCATATACTCAATTACAAAGCTTCCATATTTCCCAGAATGCAACTTCACCAGTGTGTGGCCACAGCTCAAAGTTATTGGTGTTGCCCTGACCTTACACAGAGAAGCCTCCGAGAGATGCTCCATCATGACTGCACAGACAGATAAAGTTGCAGATAGTCTGTGCAGCTTTGTGCTTGTGGACTGGCCTGACGAGCACAGCTGATCGCTGACCCATTGGAACAAAGCAGCACTCGTGTCATAGATTCAAAAGACAGAGTGAAAAGTAAATCATGTCTAGTACTCAGGTCTAAGCACATCGATAAATAACTAAAACTGCAAGTGGTTATTACCAGGGTCCAAGCCACTTGGAACATGTCAACCCTTGCCTAGCTCATCCCCAGCACTTCTTAAATCTTGTGTAGTAGCAACTTGTAATATAATGAGAAGAAAATATAAGGTCTATATGAGGACCTTAGATCTCAGCAGCTTTTTCCACCAAAGTCTAAACCGTCTGTCTTCTTCTTTAAGCGTTTCCATTTTCAGGGGTCTCCACAGCAAGTCATTATTCTCCATCTCATCTGTCCTCTGCATTCTCTGTCCTTACTCCAACTATCTCCATGGCCTCTCAAACTGCATCCATATATCTCCTCTTTGTCTTAATCTGCTGAATTTTTGTCGTTTTCCTGCAGCTGCATTTCCAGCAACCTTGTACCAGTCCTCTGTCCCTCCTCTGGACATGTCCAAACCATCTCCTCCCTAACGTTATCTCCCAGTTGTTCAACCTGTGCTGTACCTCTGATGATCTCATTCCTAATTTTATCCATTCTTGTCTCTCCTAAGGAGAACCTCAACATCTTCATTTCTGCCACTTCCAGTTCTGTTTCCTGTCTTTATGTCAGTTCCACTGGTCATATTATTCAACTGTATTTTATGCATTTGATGTTTGCTACTAACCTTTTGTCACAAATCACACTTAAAACATTTCTCCATCCACTCCATCCTGCCTGGACTCTCTGCTTCACATCTTTATCACACTCCCAGTTTTTCTGGACAGTGGATCCCATGAAGTCCTGCACCTTTGTGACCTCTGCTCCTTTTAGCCTCACTGTTCCACCTGACTCCCTCTCATTCACATGCATGTCTTCTGTCTCGCAACAGCTAACTATCATTCCAACCACCTCCACCTCTTTAAGTTCTCACCACAGATTGCAATGTCATCTGCAAACATTTTAGCCCACAGGGATTCGTGTTAGTCTGTCCATCACCAGAACAAACAATAAGGGGCACAGTCGATCCATGATGCAGTCCCACCTTCCCATAGAAGCGCACACACGCATTTATGCCTCCCATTCTTCATGACCACTGGTGGAGTGGAGTCTCCCGGTTTAAATGGGAAATCTCTACTCCATACTGAGCACAGATGTTCCTAGCCTAACCAAGCCACTGGAATATTTTCCAGGAACCCCTGTGCTTAGACTGGCTAATGGTTTCAAAATAAAAGTGTGGAGTTTTGGTTCTGTCTCTGTCTGTTTCCTCATGTGCCCAGCACTCAGTGTTTTCCCTTGTGTTCAGCCCCTGTCTCACCTGTGTCTAATGTTAATCACTGCATGTGTCTGTCATTGTCCTAATCAGTGTGTGTGCATATATTCAGTTCACTGGTGTCTTGTCTTTGTCTCGGGATTATCCTTATGGTGTGTGTTTCTGCTTTCCATCCTGTCCTGTTATCAGTAAGTAAGCTGCCCTGTCAGCCTTTGTTTTGTTTTTGTAAAAGAAATACTTTTGATCTTTTCATCGAGCCTCCTGTCATCCTCCTGCAATTGGGTTCAACACTCCTGATGGCAGAATGCAACAAAAAGCTGACATGTTAAAGGTGTTCATAAGTTTTAAATCTTGCTCCCTCCACCTACAGCAACAAATTATTCACTGAAGTCCCCCATCACTGAGGGATTTAAATAGTGAATGCTTTAGTCTTTGAGATGAGTGTTTTTCTGAACTGCATTTTGACGTGGCAACCCAATTTTTGATAAGGAATTTTATTACGCTTAGATGCAACGATATATCAAAATATAAGTTGGCATGTTGCTTATTTTTCAATGTATGTGGCTGCCACATACATATACATGTGGCAGCCATCTTGGATTTTGATGTAGCAACCTAATTTAGAAAGGAACCTTTTTATACCTAGGTGTAGTCACACACCAAAATGGAAGTCAGTACATTGCTTATTTTACAAGTTGTCCAACTCATACACACATAAAGTGTGTGTGTGTGTGTATACTTTTTATTTTTATAATGCTCATAACATGCACGGACAGAAGAATGGAGCAAATTTCACCCGTGCTCAGTCATGGGAAATGTGACAATTATGTAGTTCTTATCTTGGTGATCTTTGTTGAAGTAAAAACTTATACTGCCTACTGGCAAAAGTGATGCATTCATATTTTTAATTGCTGTTGTTTTTTTGTGTCTGTTTTCTGTTAGCAAAGTTTCTAATAAACCAGTGGAATGACTTAAATGAAATGCTCAGAAAGGAACAATTGTATGGGCTTCTACAACTAATTAACTTCTCATCCTATCTCTACGGGAGAGTCCAGCTACCCTGCTGAGGAAACTCATTTTAATTGCCTGTATCTGTGATCTTGTTAATTTGGTCACTACCCAGAGTTTGTGGCCATAGGTGAGGGTAAGAATGCAGACTGACTAGTAAACAAAGAGCTTCACCTTACAGCTCAGCTCCCTCTTCACCACAATGGACCAGCACAGAGTCCACAATACATCAGACGCTGCACCAATCCATCTGTCAATCTTACGCTCCATTCTTGCCCCACTCATTAACAAAACCATGAGATACTTGAACTCCTTTGCTTGAGGCAGAACCTCACCCTCAACTCTAAGTGAGCAATCCACCCTTTTCCAACTGATGACCATGGCCTCAGATTTGGAGGTGCTGATTCTAATCTCAACCGCTTCACACTTGTCTGCGAACCGCTTCAGTGAGAGCTGATCATGGCACAATGACGCCAAGAGGGCCACATCATCTGCAAAAAGCAGAGATGAAATCCTGAGGCCTCTGAACCAGACTCCCTCTGCTCCCTGGCAGAAGGAGTCCAGAAAGGAGGCCTGAAAGCTTTGAACAGAATCTGTGACAGCAGGCAGTCCTGGCAGAGTCCAACTCCCACCTTGAAGGGGTCCGACTTACTGCCAGTAATGCAAACCAAACTCTTGCACCGCTTGTATAGGGACTGAACAGCCTGTAGCAACGAGCCCCCAATCCCATACTCGCGGAGCACCCCCAACAGTGTACTCCGAGGAACACTGTAAAACACCTTCTCCAAGTCCACAAAGCACATGTCGACTGGATGGACAAACTTCCATGACCCCTCAAGGACCCTGGTGAGGGTAAAAAGCTGATCCAGTGTTCCACAGTCAGGACAGAACCTACATTGTTCCTCCTGGATCTGAGGTTCAACCGACGATTGGACTCTCTTCTCCAGTACCCCTGAACTGAAATTTTATTGAAGTGGCAAATGCAGTCATCATGCACACATTCAAGTGCGTAGTTTCAAGTTATCTGTTCTATTAAATGCAATATCATTACCGGTAATTTAATTATTTAGACACCCTCAGAACCTTACTTTCTGCTTTTAAAATATTTTGTACTTCCATTGTAATGTGTCTGTAGAATGGGAATAAATATGCCACAATATGGTAAAGCTGATGCATAAAAATATTACTCTGAGACCCTGATGATGATCCAACTCTCGAGACTTGATCAAGACATCCTCTGTGACATTATCTGTTTTTGTTTGATTCTACGAGTGATTTAGATTAAAACTGAATCAATATCAAGCTTGTTGTAGAGTAGTGTATTTCTTACTAAGCCAGTGCAGTGGTCGCAGAATGTGGGCTTGAAGTAGGTGGTCTCTGTGAATGTGTGGATGAAGCCCATCTTGCAGTTAAGCAGAGAGCTGGCTTTCATAAAGTAGTCTACCATCTCTTCTCTGCTGATCTTCCCATCTCTGTGGAAGGAGGCAGAGGGAGATTAGTGCCTTCTAACAAACTGTATGCTGGTTTACAAACCAGCAAGAAACTCGTCAAATAGACCGCATAGATAAATCTGTAGATGCTCACTGGTTCTTGTCCAGTTCTCCAAACTTGCTGAGGTAAGGGAAGTTGTTCCTGATGGCTTCAAACTCATCCCTGGAGATGTGGCCATCACCATCTGTGTCAAAATTCTTGAAAACCGACTGAAAAACAGAAAAATCCATAGTACGTTGTACATAAATACAAGTTTGTGGCCAGACAAATGGAGTTTAAGTTTGTTTTGTTTTTAATAACAGCAATTTGCATTTGTAGCTCATAATCACTTTTATTTATGTGTGCGCATGTGACGTGTATAAGGTGTGTCAATTTGGCATCACCTCAGGCTCAGGGAAATGCTAACACGCAAACATACATATTTATTCATTTAATCATTTAAATGTAATAATTTATGACATTTAAATGGGACGTATTAGGGGTATTATAGGCAATGGGGGGGAACAGTGCCCCCCTTGAATAGGGAAACACTGCTCACTTTGCAAAAAGATTGAAGGTTTTGAGAAAGTTAATTATCTTTAAATAAAAATGTGTTACCAAATTCAAACTGATGATAATACAGCTCTTATTTTATAAGTGTTTTATGCAACAGTTCTGTAAAATAAAATGTGTCCTCAAATGCAGAGAAAAATACTGAACACATAAGGTTATGTTGGTCCATTTGGCTGAGGCCAGATGGTCCAGCAGGTGGTCTGAAATATACAGTTTAATTATTTTTGCTCTCTCAGTTTGCTGATTAATTACTTGGTCTGCGGTAACTAAAATGGGCTCTGTCAGCAGTGGTGTTCACATCACGTCAAGAGTCCCCTGGCAACAACAAACAGGCAATTGTAGGGAGAAATAACTGCACAGGCAGAAAATGGCAATAAACGCAGGAAGCTGTCACAGTTGCATCAGCAAACCAGTAATATCTGTCTGTAGCATGCCAGCACAAACCAGTATGAGCTTCTAGTTATTCCAAGACAAGTCATCATTTGCAAAACCTCTTGAAAGAGCTGAAATAAACACAAGTGAGTTCCAATGCTAATGTTGCAGAGTAAATATTTGTTCTCTCTCTGCCGAAGATGTTAATCACCACTCAGAGTGGATTCAGTGCAGTCAATGGCAGCGAATGTTTCTATTATCCTCAGAGATCTGATGTTCGTTACACACAACCACGTATCTGCCTGCTGTCACCTTCTGCAGGTCTCCAGTTCTCTCCGTCTGTTTATGAAGCTTTTCTGTGGAATTTTGCTTCACATTCCAACAAAGTTGAGACGTTGTGAAACCCACCTTTATTTTAGGTGTTGAACACCCTGTAAGAGTTTACACTGATTCTTCATTAAAATACTATTGCTATGATGTGATTTTCTCCAATCTTATTGTTTTTGCCAGATTTTATTGCACTGTTTTTATTCTTTGTTTTTAATTTTATGTTTAATTGTGTTTGCTATGTACAGCACTTCGGTTCTCTGTGGTTGTTTAAGTAAAGTTAAAATGGAGTGGACTGTGTACATGTACTATTTCGGGGGGGGGGGGGGGGATTATAGGTTAGGTTTAGATTAAACTCAGCTCTGGTCATACACACTAAGCCTTCTGAATTGTTCTTTAAAAAAAATGCCACTTAATGGTATCATTAGTATCAGAAAGGGGTTAACAACTGACCTGACTACTGAACATACTTGTATTTTTGTTTAGTTCTCAGTCTGAAGCAATTTATTGTTAAAATGTCCCCTGCTGGTTTTAAATGAGGTAAACAGTCCACGTTTTATGACTGGCCCTCTCAGCTACATCATAATGTAAGGTCCTAAACAACCTCTTAATTTAGCAAAGACAAGGGTCATTCAGTGGAGGACAAGAGTAGATATTCACAATTAGTCCTAAGAGAGGAGAGGAGAGGGTGCTGAGGAAACTCACCTCCACCATCTTCTCTATGTGTTTCTTGATGATGGTTGGGTCGGCATTGGGTTTCACTGAGACAGACCATTCATCAATCACCGTGGTCTTGGGTTCAGGTTGGGGGGTTGGGTTGGAGTTCTGCTGCATAAACAAATAATTAAATACCATGAGATACATATAAAGACAAGTAAGGGTTTGAAAAATAAAGTTTCTATTATGGTAGAATGAAAACAAACATTTGAATGCCCAACATTAGAAATTTAAATGTTTCCATTCAAAAATGATTTTCCATTAAAAGTTATGTGAGCATGGTAAAATGCAACAAAATGTTATCTTTCATTTGTTCTTTTTTTTCCCTACAACTCACAAGTACAGAAAAATCATTTTCAGTAATATGATGGTAGAGTCTGGTGTTGAAATAAGTGTACATATTTTATATTTTTCTAAACTGTAACGATGCTCATTGAAGACACTGTCACTTCTTTTATACACATTATATTACTGTATGTCTATTATATAAAAGTTAAATGAATTCTGAAAATGGGATATGTATTTTACATTGAAATAATTTTGAGGATTCATTGCGTACGCAGCAAACAGTGATTCTCAAACTTCAAACTCTGGTCCAGATCTGGACCGATAGGCAAGTCCATCCAAACCCAACCCATGTGTTATAGATACAGTATATCGGTGCGAGTTTTATCAGCCATTTAGTAGAAAGCTAATACTGTGGCCAACATCTTTAGTGTCAAGGTTCAGGCAGACTCCTTTTCTGTTGATGTTTCTGCCACATGTTGGTATTCTGTCAGTAGTGATGCCTGTTGTTTAAAAGAGCTGCAGTGAGTGCTGCCCATCTGACATGCTAGTATCAAAGTCAACTCTGTTCTTTTGACCTCACAGTTCACACAAGACACAAGTTGGGCAACAGTATACTCTCACCATGTGGAAGACTCATATTTCAGAGTCTCCTCCACTATCAGCTCGACCACCAAGCCTATGTGACAGAAATGTCATCATCTGAACATGTGCACGAAAGTCTACCAGAGAACTTCTTTGATTTTGTGACTGACTTCACCGGCAGCAGCAATAAAGATCCCATTCAAACCAAGAGACGGGGTGTTTTTGTCAGCGTGCTGTTTACCACGGGTTTACGAGGTTCCCTCTGTAGAGAAATCTGATAGATCTCCTCCTCAGTGTGGTACTGGTCCAGAGAAACCTGCAGGGACAAGTCATGAGTGAGTGGGGCTAGTTACAAGATCACTATGAAAATAAACATGATACTCAGAAAAGCACAAAATAGATCCACAGTTTCCCGAGTTTATCTCAAGCTAACAAGCAGATGTCGTCTGTTGCTGAGGGATTTGAATAGTCAATGTTTGGAGTTTTTGAGAAGAGTTTTTCAAAATTTTCTGGGCTGGAATTGAACAAGAAATGCAAGTAAACCTTTATGTTTTGGTGCAAGTTAATCACGTGGGAAGGAGATTTACTGTGTTTAAGAAGAGTTTTCTTTTGTTTGTCCAAGGCAGCTCAGAGTGTCGGATCCTGGCGAGCGGAGGAAGCAATTTTATCTAATGGTGGAGCCAGGAGGGAAGGGAAGTCTGAGATTGTCATCATTGTATGTTCCCATACAATGATGAAATTAGTTCTCTGCATTTAACCCATCACATGTGAAATGCACCCAGGTGGAGCAGTGGGCAGCTATGTTGGCGCTTGGGGAGCAATTAGGGATTAGGTGTCTTGCTCAAAGACACCATGACATGTGGGAATGGCTGGGAGTCGAACCGCAACTTTCTGGTCCCAGGTCAGCTGCCCTGCCTCTAACCCATCTCAGACCCCAAGATGGAGGTGGCCAATGGTGGCAATGGACACCATAGATTATTCTTCGACAACCCAAACATTTGAGGAAACTAGAGTATATGTTTAAGCAATAGAAAAACTCGAATGCTTAGCTTCCTCAAATGATTGAGGTGGCCAGTTTACCTACAAACTGGTCATCTTGGTGGCCATCTTGGATTTTGACGTGGCAACCAAATTTTTGATAGGGACTTTTTTTAGGTATGGAGCCACAAACCAAAATGGAAGTCAATACGTTGCTTATTTTTCCACGTTATCATGCTCACAACATACACGAACATATGGATGGATGGATGGATGGATGGATGGATGGATGGTTGGTTGGATGGAGGGAATTTCCAATTCCCCTTCTATGCTCCGCTATGGGGGACAATAAACATGATACTCAGAAAAGTACAAAGTTGATAAGTTCTTTCCCAAATTTGTTTTCTCAAATTAAAAATCAGTATGTCTTGTGCATGGCATCTTTCAAAACCATTCTTTTGTGATGAATTCAGGAGTTCTTTTGTTGTTTCTTCTATTCTACCTTGGTGTGGCTCTTTGATATTGTGGAAGTTTACACTCAGTGGCAGCTAGACTTCAGTTTCCAATATGCTGTAACCCAATACTGCATCTTTTAGCAGAGGCAACAGATGTGTTCTTTCATTCATCATTCATCACATGACGTCACCTGAACCAGCTTCATTAGCTGACAAATGTCAGATGGAGATGAAAGCTCAGGAAGTTAGTTTGGTGAAATCAATCAACGGAAACTTTCAATGTGCAACAACAAAATGAAAAACAAAGATGTTTTCAAAACTTGAAGCAACAAAATCAGAGCGTGGGAACATTTTGAAATCTAGTGAATCTGAACATTTCTCAATCTAAAGAATGTGTAGTGTGAACTTAAACCTAACTTTTCTCACACATAAAAAGACCGGCCTCATCATAGTACAGTCGTTTAGTCTTGAAAAAGTTTAAACAACTTTATATAAACATGTTCTACATAGATTTGATCTTCTCTTCTCTACTCATGACCCAAGAATGAAAAAAATAGTCTTGTTTAAATCTAAAATTCTCTGAAATGTGATCAATAAGGTTGTTTGTTTCATGATTTCTGAAATTGTTTTCCTTTATGGTTGAAAGATATACAATATCAATCAGTCGTAGATTTAAGTGTTTCATGCACTAACCCTCCATCACAGAATTAGTTATACTTGTGTTTTTATTATGGCAAGATACAGCATCAGGAGGAACAAGATCACTCAGAGATTGCTGTTGTCTTTTTACCGACAAGCATCTTAACACACTGCATCACAGGTGGTATCTTAGCTGCACAGAGGATCAGAGGAACGTGCTCCAGAGAGTGATCTACACAGCCCAGAAGATCATGGGCTGCCCTCTTCTCTCACTGGAAGATCTAAACAGTTCCTGCTACAAAGGAAAAGCCCACAGCATCCCAAATGACACATCTCATCCTGGACATGATCTATTTGACCGTTACCATCAGGGAAAAGATTCAGATCAATGAAGAACAAACAGATTTAAAAATAGTTTTTTATTTGTCAGCTGTTACTGAACTTAACAAGAGCTGCAAGAACTGAATAAGTGCAATAAGGGACAACTAGTGTCATATCGATCTGCTTGTGTTGCACATATGAGATATTTAAAATCTGCAATTATTAACTTTTATACATATTATATATACAACTATATATTGTTTGATATTACATTGTTTTTACTTTTGCTCTGGGAAGCACAACTAAGTTTTGTTGTATTTAGGTGCAATGACAATGAAGGTCTATTCTATTCTATTCTATTCTAACCCAATACCCAAAAAGTTGGGACACTGTAAAATTAAATTTTTTGCATTTTTTAATTTACAATGTATCAAGTGTTTACACTAAGAAACTGTACCATTTTTTATGGAAACATTTTATTGTTTGCTTTTTGTGGGTAGCAGCACATCTCAAAGGAGTTAGGACAAGGGCAACAAAATGCAGTAGAAAAAAGGTGATCTGAATAGAAAACAGCTGGAGGAGTGTTTCACATCTAATCTGGTTAACTGGCAATAAGTCAGTAAAGGACTGTGTGTATAAAAGAACATTTTAGAGAGGCTGAATGTGTTGGAAACTGATGCCTCTTATCAAGAAGGTTTCCAGCTAAAAGGCTAAAAGTCAATATTGGATGGCCATGATGTTCAGTCCATTTAAAATGGACAGAGGCAGGGTGAGAAACTGTTCTGTGGTCAGACAAAGCAAATTTCATTTTTTTTTTTATTTTTTTTTTTCAGAAACCATGAATACTGTGTCCTCCATACTAAGGAGAAGAGAGACCATTTATTCCCTTGTTAGTGCACAGTTCAAAGCCCTGCCTCTCTGGTGGTATAGGGGTTCATTTATTTGCTCTGGCATGAGCAGCTTATACTTCTGGAAAGGTTCCATCAAATGCAGAAAATGTGTTAAGATAAAATATGCTTCAATCCAGGCATCATTTTTAGGGAAAACCTTAAATATTTGACCAAGACTATGTTAAACTGTTACTGCATCCATTTCAACAGCAGCACTTGTAGGAGTCTGGGTGCTGAGCTAGGCTGTCTGCAGCCCTGACCTCTCACAAATTGAAGACATTTGATGCAGCATGAAACAAAAACAATAACAAATAAGCAACAGGAGTGTTAAACAGCTAAAATCCTCCATCAGACAAGATCAGGTCAATATTGTTCTACAAAAACTCCAACAGCTTGTCACGTTTCTGCCCCTCCTGCCATAGCTCCTGTTTTCATGTTCTGTGTTTCCCCTGCTCATGTCACGTCTCTGTGATCCTGTCAACCATCACCATGCCCACTCAGCTCATGCACCACAATCAGCCCTCATGCCGTTCACCTGTTTCCAGCCCTACTTAAACTGCATGCTCACACTCAGACTCTGCCAGATTATTGAACTCCTTCGGGTCAGTAAATGTCCAGCGTCCTTGTTACAGTTTTGTTTGCCTGCCTGGTCTTGATCTCATGCCTGTCTCTCGGATTCCTCGTCTTGCCAGCTCCTTGTCTATTCTGCATTATCCCCTTTCTGCCTATGGTATCAACCTCTGCTTCCTCTACTTCAACCATGCCTCAAGGATCACGTTTTGGATTTGGCTATGGACTTCTGATCACCTGTATATGACTCTTGCCTGTTTCTCTGGACCACCTACTTGGATCTCCCTTAAATCAACGCATTGCTCAGCTCTGCCTCATAGCCGCTCCGTCTTCACCACCAGTGATGTCATCCCATCCATCTCCCTCAAGGAGCCCCTCCTTCACCCGTTAGTGACTGTCTGAGTATCCATCAGATGAAGTCCTCTTCACTAACTCTCCTGTCTCTTCAGATTGACCCAGCTTTGGGACTTTGGCATCCACCAGCAGCTGTTTAATTAAACCTTGAACTGTTCCTGTTGTCTGTTGTCAAGTTCAAATCCTAAAAATGAGTTCTTTCCACAGCTGGTTTCAGTTCCCAGATGTTTTCAGAATGTTGTTAAAAGAAGAGAGGATGCTTCAGTGAGAGCATCTGAACTTTATCTTCAATCCCCTTCCAGATTCATCTCAGTTTGGTCTGATTATAAAGTTCAATCTTGTTCATTTGGTTCAAGTAATTTTACATTATTTCTTCCTTTAGTCAACCCCTGAAACACCTGATTTGTGTTGTATTTGTTTAGCAATTATCATGCTTCAAGTTGTCACAATGTTCAGTCAGGTCATCTGGATGGTTTCTTTTATGTGCCGAGACGTTTTGCCCTCCATCCAAAGGGCTTCATCTGTCTGAGGAAACACTAAACAAAACTGATTCTCCACCAACAGCCTACTCCAAAATATTAATAAAAAAAAACAACAGTTATTGGTTTTGTTTGTTGTTGGAGAATCATTTTTGTTTGGTGTTTTCTTCAGACAGATTAAGCTCTTCGGATGGAGGGTGAAAACATCTCAGCACAAAAAATAAATCGTCCAGATAACATGACTGAAAATTGTTGGAGTTTATACTTGGAATATTGAGCATGGACTTTCGTGCTTCAAGTTATATATTTAAATCTCTCAACACTCCACAGAATACATTCTTCTCTGCCAGTTCTGACAGACAACCATGGCACAAGCATTTTAATTCCCCTTTTAATAATTTCAGTGGTATTGCGATCAAAGGTTAATTTTAGACAAAAAAATAAAAATCTGCAGGCCCAGATCACATGGAGGCTTTTTCTTAAAACTAGCTGTTGATTTTATTTCATCTACAGTACTTTGACCTTTTTTTTTAATCCTTCCCGTAGTTTAGGTCATATCCCTTTGGTTTGAAAGTCTGCCTTTAGTAACTCCCCTCTTTAAAGGCCAACCCAACTAAACTGAATATGTAG